AGTTTCTAGCGTTGTAAGTCTACGGACATGCCGCTGTGTCACTGGGGGCGACGCAATAGTAAAGCCACAATTCGTTAAATACTTAAGGTAAAGCCACACTGAGAGCGATGCTTGTTTGAAAGCTGCTCATACAATAGCCTTGCCCATTATTAATAACGGTTGTAAATATACGTCATCATGGCTGGATTTTCGATTATCACTGGAAGTTGATAGAAATTTGTGTTAGAAGAATTTTGACTATTTGGGAAAGACCACTTGATCATATTAGAAAAAAAAAACTTTAAGTAAATTAGAATTCAAAATTACTAAAAAAATAAACAAACAAACACAGTACAGTACAATAAAACTTCGCTAACCAGATCTAGAAGAGACTCCATTTTAAAGGTGAGTTAAAATATTACCCCCAGTAACACAGCAGCAAGTATGAGGACTTATAACGCTAAAAACCAAGTTTCGATACCCGTGGTGAGTACAGTCCAGATAGCTCATTGTGTAGCTTTGTGCTTAACTACAAACAAACAAATTAAAATACCTTTTTTTAAAAAAGGATTTTATAGTTCCTTTTCTCCCAGTTTATATCGAGTTTGGTGAATATTAACTACAAGTGAAATTATTTAGAATACCTTGTCAAATTAACGCGTTAATTAGTGCAGAAGAGTTCGACTCCAAAACCAGTGGCTTCTGAATCAATCTGACTTTCAATGTTCAGTAAATACGGTAAAGAATCAACATTATTACAAATTCTGGGATAATCAGTTGTTTTCGTTTATCATTACTAATCAATAATGTTAGGTGAAGACTTAAAGTCATGAATGGGGAGGGGGGATAAAATTCACTCTCGAGCTTGGATTTTATCCCATCCCCTTTACCGAGTTATTTTTACATAGGCTATACATAAGAATACAGTATAAACTGATAATACATTATGGTATTCGATACAAATACTTGACATCACTGAAACCTTATGTTGCTGTTAGCAGTCATATAATACTTCTCCTTACCCCTTTATCCTAAAACTCCTTCGAAGAACTTTCTTAGTTTCCTGCCTTTCTTGCACAAACTGTTGAGTTTCGTTCACATGTACAAGTTGTGCATTATACAAGTGTTGCGTTGTCAGGTTACTCAAAGAATCACAAACATATCAACGAACTCTGTCGCATATGTCACAATTTGATATTTCCGTTAACTGTCCAATTTAAATGGACCGATAATTGACAGTAGGACCTGTAGGCACCAAGAGCCTAAACCTTACACAGTTAATCGCTTGGCACATGGCCCCTACTGAATACTGATGTAGCTGTTTGCCTTCTTAGAATACTGGTTTCGTCACTGATTAGAAAAACAAGAAGATAGAGCGGGAGAGAAAACAGGTAAGAAGGTCAAGAATTCTTGAGTTAATGTTTTTTTTATATATATATATTAACCCGCTGGTGTTTAGGATTACTATTGTGGGACAGGATTTCTCCGAAGAGCCGTGTTATGTGATCATGGAAAACTTTAGAACTACAGGTTTACAATCCGGTTTAAACCAGCTGTTTAAGTTATAATAATTTTGTAATGTATTGGTGGTGGACGACGAAACGAGATAATAACCATATGCTAATAAATGATTATTAACGTCATTGAAAGTCTTCGAAATATGTGTGTCTCAATATGAAATGCAATTCAGTTATTTTGTGTATATTAAGGTTAAATTAATTCAATGACAGCAGCTAAGTGTGAAAAGTGAAACTGAGTGAAAGATGAATATTTCATGGTAAAAGTTAAATTCGTTGTCGGAAATCTCGCTAGCAAGTACTCTGTTAGTACAAACATTTAAAATGTGGATCCATTTGTGCTTCATATGATATATAACAATATACTTCAGAAATAATCTTATACATTATGTATTGTAATGTTCCATTGCAATAATTATGAATAACAATGGTGCAAAACTTTGTTCTGGATGTTACTCTGACGTATGTCGGATGATGCAAAACTTTGTTCTGGATGTTATTCTGACGTGTGTCGGATGATGCAAAACTTTTTTCTGGATGTTACTCTGACGTATGTCGGATAATGCAAATCTTTGTTCTGGATGTTATTCTGACGTGTGTCGGATGATGCAAAACTTTTTTCTGGATGTTACTCTGACGTATGTCGGATAATGCAAATCTTTGTTCTGGATGTTATTCTGACGTATGTCGGATGATGCCAAACTTTGTTCTTGATGTTACTCTGACGTATGTCGGATGGTATAGAAAGTTTATTTTAAGTTGTTCTGGGTTCACCTTGTCGTATAGAAAGAATGGTGCAAAAGTTGTTCTGAATGTCACGGGCTCTTTCAAGCAGGGGCGTCGAAAGCCAGCCCAGGCTTCGGGGTCAGTAATATCATCGGGCCCCTGTTTCATTCTATTTAATTTTTCTATTTGCTGATTTCTCATAAAAGAAATTTAGGTGACAAATTTCTTCACGAATCCATGAAAAAGCAGTAGCCATTTTAGCTCATTAACACGTTCACGATATCGTGCGTTACCAATGGTACATATGCATGTTTTTTGTTGGACGTCGTGAGCCAACCGCGATACACAGCACCCATAAGATATAACTCTACCTCATATCTCCAAAGTCCTATATGAAGCATTTATTTTATACGGACGGCTATAATGAAGCCACGCCTTCCATCATGTACTACTGATGGAGCACGGATGCCATGTTGAAAGGATAACTGATGATTAAATCACTTTTTATTTTAAAATTACATCTAGAGATTGGCATTAAGTTTTTTCATTGGGAGTAATTGAAGCAAAAAAAAACAAAAAACTAATTGAGACTTCTTTCATAACTTAAAAAACTGCTATGAAGAATGTAATATAATAAGTATAGAATTATTATCACTCACAATAGGGATTATTTTATCTGATGTCCCTTTTTTTACGATCATAAAATTGTGAAATATTCATAATTCTTCTAAAAAATGACAAGATTAGGCTGAAAAAAAATTAAATGTTATGATCATTTGAGCCCCCAGTGGCACAGCGGTATGTCTGCGGACTTAGAACGCTAGAATCCGGGTTTAGATACCCGTGGTGGGCAGAGCACAGATAGCTCATTGTGTAGCTTTGGGCTTAATTACAAACAAACAAACAAAATGATCATTTGATTATTATTACTTATATCACAGTGTGCACCACCAATAGCACATGAGAGCCAAAGCTTAAATGGGTAAAGACAGTACACCATGTACCATCGGTGGTGCACCCAAGAGAAAGTTCTCATTGCAGTCATTCTGTCATAAAACATAACATAAAGGCATAAAATTAGCTGTATCTAAGGCAGAGTTCACAATTGAGGCCTTATGTTCCTATGGCACAATTAGAGATATCGCCGTGAACGTGTTAAATATTATGCATTTCTAGTGAGCTTTGGAATATCCCACTGCCGGGCCCCTCAACAGACTCCGGACATTGGGGCAGCTGCTCCTTTGCCCCCGCACCCCAGTCAGCCATGGCTCTTTGAATTACTCTGCCAGATTTGGAATTGTGTTAAACATTGTGCCGGACGGAGTCACTCTGCCGT